CCTCGTTTTCGCTTGGGACTATTTATGGAGATCATTAGGCCAAAGTCATCTGAAGATATCTGCAAAGCCCGCTCTTTTCTTTCTTTGTTATCCTCTTTTGGAGCGGTGAATTGTTCGTTCATGATGATCCTCAACTTGTTCCTGTATTCTTTCACAGGATAAATTCATGTATCTTCTTGTAAATTCCCAAAAATAAAATCCGTATGACTAGTGTTAGAATAAAAAAAACAAAGAAGAAAAGTCATGTGAATATTTCTCTAATATGTTCAAGACCATTTGTTTCTCATTCTCTTCTACTAAATGTTGTAAATGTGGAAAGGTGGATGGGGGTTTGAACTCTTCTTTTATTGCTCCACAATCAACCAAAGCCTCATCTTCAATTATCTCAATTGAATGAGAGTGCTCTTGCAGAGTGGAAAGTTCTCTCTGTGGATGCTCATCCTCTTGTGTAGGATCATTCTCACAAGGTATCTCCTTCATATATTCAACATCAAAACACAATGAGCTTTCTGAATGTATACTTACTAATTGACTATCCTGTGATTTTAGTTTCTTAATGGCTTCATAATTTTGTATAAATCTCTCTTCAACACTATTCATGAACTTATATAATAAGCTCTTCTAAACTATCATTCTCCTCTTGAGGTGGTTGTCTCACTTCGTTTTCGTTCCAGTCATAATAACAGTATTCGTTCCATCCAGAGTTAAGATTGTGGCCATATGAAACCTCACACCTATAAGGACTAGAAACAGAGTGAGACTTTTCAAAAATTGATCCATAGGAAGAATACTTACCTGCTTGACAGTCAACTCATAGGTGATTTCCCCTATATTTAAAACAAATAGTAGATTTGTGATAATTTTCAGCTCTAACTCTGCAACCGTTTATTTAGGTTGGTTGTGCTCCATCTTCACAACACTTGAGTTCAACATCAGGACTATTTTTTTCAAGCTTTCTCCCTAGCACTTGTCAGGTACTACAAAAAAATCTTGAAGACAAGTTAATTAGTAAAAAATTAAAAAGAAAAAAAATCCCAAATTAGCACCAAACATTATTTTTATACTTTTGATTGTCAATCCTCGGTAACGGCGCCAAAATTTGACGAGCGCAAAATACAATACGAAAATTAATGCTCCTAGTCAAAGATAGTATAGTAAAATTATCATCTACAGAGGGATTGAGTTTAAATAATATTCGAATAACTGATGGTTTACTGCTATTCAGGGTGATCAACACTTGATTTAAAGTGATTACTAACTACAATTAACTACTAAATTAAGACTACAACTAATTGGACTCGATCAGAGAGAGTGAGAGTTGAACTAAAACGGATTACAAGTAATATGAAATAAGGGTCACGATAGGATAGGTATAAGATACCCATTTCAGATCGAACTCTGCTTAAATTCACTTCTAATGTTCTAATGATTCTCACGAATTCACTCAATGATTAGCTTAAACGTAAGGTCAAGATTCTACTCTCGATTAAATCGAACTCTACAAAATAAACTACTATGAAGCACTGTGAAGATATGCAAGAACGCGTTAATGGACTAGTTTTTAGGAAAACGTCTCTCGAATATTCTCCTAACTTGATTTATTCAATAACTCAAGAAGCTCTCTCGAATGCTTAGAAGAATCACTAAATTAAATCAAACCAAATAATGCAGAATTAGCCACCAAAATATTCCTCTTTCAATTAAATAAACTGGTAAACAAATTCGCAACCAATTCAAAGCACCATAAATGAATTCATGCAATTAAACTAGAGTTAAATCTACAAACAACACTCAAAACACCATATCTGTCAAAACCCTAGGGAAGAACTACTCCATAGATATGGAGAAAGTCATCACAAATAAGTTTAAGAGCATAAAAAACATCAAAGATAACTTTATTATACAAACTCCCGTATCGCACCAATTGTTGGCAAGAAAATTGATGAAATCTTGTGTCTTCAAGCCGTGATAGCTCTCTAAAACTCTCCTAGGTCGAATCCCCTTAAAAATATGTTTACAATATATTTATATCAAGTATGGGCGGACCTAGACCAGAATACCCTTTCAAATACGAACTGGGTCAACTGCACGGAGAAAACACACAACTGCGTCGCACTGGCCGACGCATTGTTCGTCGCATTAGTGTGATTCTTCAGAAAGGTTTTCCTGATGGAATTTGTGTCTAACTCCTAGACACTCACGTTAGGCACCTGGTACAAAGCTTCATTATTAGAGACTTTAATTTTGTTGCCATTTGCCGTAACATTGCATAGTCCTTAGGTGCCACACGTTGGCCTGTCCGACGTGGCAACACTATTTCATCCATTTTTTATTATTTTTTCTATGCAATCTCGCTTTTCGACCTCCGAACTCTGTCCGAGTTTAATCCTTGAACTTTTTCTCAGACTTCAAAGTCCTATTATAATTATTTTAGCTCCAAACATATGCCTTAGCTTGAAATTGCAACCTACACAATAGAAAACACGTAATGATTATAAATTGTCCATATTTTAGATAAAATAAATTAAAGTGTAGCAAATAATAGGTCTAATATAATCAAAAACTAGTATTTTTAGCCTACCATCAATGAATTCAAAGAGCTAAATGGTATACAAATGCTCAAAACGACCATTTGGTTCGTTACAATTCAACTCACATTTGAGGGATGAAGAAACAACGGATGATTGTAATCATGCCAGTAGGTTGAATTGAATTCCCTGCTGTTTTATTCACGTTGACAGCTTCTTGATCATTGTTCGAACTCATTTTTTCAAGAAAAAGAATTCGTCGATACTACCAAGAGATTTTAGGAAATACAACTAAAAGATGCGAACGTAGAATTGGATCGATACAAAGCTAGAATATCTTGCTTAATAGCTTTGATACCATGCTCAAATTATGAATACATAATTGAAGAATTCAAGATCAAGAAGAAGAGAGGAGAGAAGCAGATCGATAGAGAGAGGTTAGAGAGAGAAAAATATCATCTTCATATTAAAAAGTGTGTCTTACAGATGGTGTAATGTATGTATATATAAGGGAGCTAAATGATGGTAGGCTAGGAACTCATGTTTTAGCTATATTTTTCACTCTAATTACTATAATTTGATTGTATTTGAGCCTAATTATTATTACTTTATACTTATTATGTGTGTTATGTTGTGTAGGATGTGATTTCGAGTGAAGAAGCAAGTTTGGAGCTAAAATAGATGTTTGGAGCTTTGAAGTCCGAGTTGAAGCACAAGAAATTAAGTCGGAATCATGTTTGGGGGTAGAGGACCAAGTCTAGATATCAAAAAGTGAGAAGAAAAATTTACTCTGAGAAATTTGTACTACCGCACCGTGGGGCGCAAGGTGCTAGTGTAAAATTCCTGCGGAGTCGAAAAAACCTGCTCTCTGAACTTTTCCATTGGTGTGGCACATTGGGCGACACGTGGTGCGCCACACCTGTATAATTTTCTTAGAGTGTTTTCTCGTTTCGTCTTGTAAAGGGTAGTTCTGTCCGAACTCACTTATACACGGTCTAAATGCATCAAAAATATGATTTTGAGAGGACTTTGGACCTAGGAAGTTATTAGACAGCATTGGAGGCTTCAAGGTACAAGATTTAATCATCTTTCCATCAATTCAATACGGGTGTTTCAATTGTAACGTTGGATTGATATTTTCTTATTTTTTAATTCTATTTGTGATGATTGCCTCCATGATTATAGAATAGTTCCAATTCCCTTAGGGTTTGACAGGATTTTGTGAATTGATAGCTATATATGGATTTGATTATTATTTAATTTCTTAAATTTATTGGAAGAGATTTAACTATAGTTGTGATTATATTTATTATTGTCTTTAATTGGAAGAGGAGCGTAATATTGAATATTATTGCAACGCATGCCTTAATTCATTTTGGCACTTTTTTAAAGTGATCGAAAGAGCTTTGTGATCTATATTTTGAATTAAGATTAAGAAATATTTGAGAGAAGTTCTCTTATACCATTCTTACCAATAGATTCTTTTAAGTTTCACCGCACTTCATATTAGCTTATTTGAACGGTTTAGGTTTAATCGAGAGAGGACTTGAATCAGAATAATAGGATAATAGATTGTTGAATTTGAGAGAATTAATAGAATATTAAGAGTGAAATTTAACAATGTTAATTTCAGGATAACAATTTTGCATTTATCATGTCATGACCCTTATTTCTCACACTGATAACAAATCAATTCTGCTAATCTCTAGTTCTTCGCAATCAATTGTCAATTGCTTTACTTTTAATAGTTAATCGTAGTTCGTAATCATTCCAAATCAAGTGTTGATCATCGTGAATAGCAAATAAGCCCGAAATTACTCGAACATTATTTAAATCCAATCCCTTTGGAGGCGATATTTTACTATACTATCTTTGACTAGCCAACATTAATTTTGTGTTGTGTTTTGCGTTCATCATTAATCTTTCTAATTGAGCTAAACTAACTAACTACTAACTTCATGTGAAAAGACTAGAATGCCTTTATTGTTAAGTAACACCTTTCTCTGCAGAGGAAAATAAGAAAAAAGTGAAGTGCACGAGATTTCGATTTGGGGAGATTTGATATGAGATAATTTTCTCTTTTTCATAGCATGAAAGCAAAATTTTAAATCTCTAGCTTAATAGTACCTAATGTTTACACCAAATAAAACAATAAAACCTTAACATTTAAAAATAAAAGTGAGTATACATAACTAAGTGATAAATGTACATATAAAAGACACATATTTTGCATTTATTGATTTGCTGTATACTTCAATGATTCAACCCTCTAAATTCTTCGAGACAAGTCCTTTATAGTTTTCTTTTCCGTTTTTCAGAAGAATAACACATGAATTTAGCATTTTAAAAGAGTTACGAGGAATTAGATTAGGTAGGAAGAGCAATCCTTCCGCATCGGATTGCATGAGGTTTGGTACGATGGATTACATACCGATAGAATAAAAATCAAATTATAGTTATTATTTCCAAATATCCATTTGCAAATCTCACTGAATTTATCGAAAAATTACACAACCAACAATCTGAACAAAAAACCTAACGTATCCTTGGTCGGACATACCAAATATTGACCTCTGTAGGTGTTGATCACAGTCAGAACATCACTATATTCTGGTTTTTTTCAGGGACACCAAGAAAGTAATAACTCAAACTTTTGATATTGTTATGCCAAATTTCGAGCCCTCATACATTACAGGAAACATCAAAGTGCTGGCTCAAAACTTTTACCCCCTCTAAAATAGTTATATTGACTTATTTCTATGCATTTCCTGTAGTATTAATTATCAGAAAAACTCGCTAACATATTTTAACTTTGACTTATTTCCCTTTTTACAACTGCGCAGAAGGATCAAATCCATTAGCATGTCCATTCTTCTTAACAACATCAATATCATCATCATCCACCATGTACCTCTTCCATAGCCAATGCTGCTTCCAAACCCTCTCAGTCATCTCCTCAATCGGTACATTCTTCGTCTCAGGCAACAAGAAAAAGACGAACAACGACATTACGAAAATCCATCCCGAAAAGAATAAGAAAATCCCGTACTTGAAATGACAAAGCATGGAGAGAAAAGCTTGTGCCATAACAAAGGTGAAGAGCAAGTTGACACAAACCGTAACACTTTGTCCAGCTGAACGAGTTTCTAAAGGGAAAGTTTCACTAGGAATTAGCCATCCTAATGGACCCCATGACCATGCAAAAGCGGACACGTAAGTGCATACCATGACGACTACGAAGATACCCCAACCATGGCTGAGGTTGTCTGAATGGTCCGTGACTTTTATGCCGAGGATTATGGCGATTACAATTTGGGATATTAACATTTGGACGCCGGCTTCGAGGAGAAGGATTCGTCGTCCGAGTTTGTCGACGGAGTAGATGGAGACTACGGTGGAGAGAACGTTGACGGCTCCGGTGATGACGGCTGAGTAAAGGGCTGCGCTGCTTCCGAATCCTAGTGTTGAAAATAAGACTGGTGCGTAGAACATAATGGCATTAATCCCTGTGAATTGCTGGAATATCTGTTCGCATAAAACAAGAAAACTAATGAACCATCAAAAATTTGATGAATTTTAGTGAGAATGCAACAACTCTTGTTCAATTGCTTGTGTTACTAACAATCGACTTCTTTTTTCTTGCCTCAATTCAAAATTTAAGCTAAAAGTGTAGGATAGAGGAGAGGACAGCGTATTAATTAACTGGACGTAAATTTTGTAAAAATTTCATTTAAAAGCTTAAATTATTAGAGAAATTAAAACATAATGATATTCATCCCTGTGTTTTGCTGGAATACACGTCGCATAATAAAAGAACAATATGAGAACGTCAAAATTTTGCATTCTAGTGAGAATGTAGAGAGCTTATAGTACTAAGGAAATTATTTTATCGTATTGGATTGAGATAGTAAATGAAGCAACATGATCGGTGAAAATTTGCTCGTATTGTTGTAGCTAAAGCTCAACAATTAATTTTTATATTGTTAGTGGAAAGAACGTAACACAAGTAATTAGGTGGAAAAATAAACTGACCTGTAGGGCAACAGAGATGATCAATTGAGGTCTATTTCTACGTTGGAGGAGATTTCTGAAAGGATGTTTGACTTCTTTAGCAATACGGCTGGCCTCAACAAGCTCCAAAAATTCAGGTTCAATGTTGTCAGTACCTCGGATTTTTCTAAGTACATTTTTGCCTTCTTCTAAACGACCTCGTTCTATCAAACTGTTAGGGGTGTCTACCACAAATATTGCACCCAAGGTCAGTAGCAATGCTGGAAATCCTGCTAATCCTAATGATAGTCTCCATCCCCATCCTCCACTTATTCTGCATTTACCAATTAAAGAAAAAGCATTTGTTAGGTTCAAATTGATCATGGAATTTTAAAAAAAAAAAAAAAAAAAAAAAAAAAAAAAAAAGTTAAAAGGAGCAATTACCATGAAATTATATAATGAGACCTTTTAGCCTTTTAGTTGTTTTGATATTTTAATCTTTTAGTGGATAAATATATAGTACTCTCATCATCACTATTTTTTGGTGTTCGAATCTTTCTTTTTGTTCCTTTCAAGTTTCAAGCGATCACATGACAACAAAAACATGAATAATAGTAAAAATATTATTGTAGATAGCGAGAATTACTTCAGGAAATATCTCTTATATACTATGAATATATGCGGTACTTATAAATTTGGACATAAGGAATTATTTTTGGCTTGACAGACAACTCAAATGAAGAAAAAATTGCATTTAGTAGAACAAATTTTAAATAAAATGTGTTCTTAATTATTTTTTCCCTCATAATTTAGGTAATTTTAAGTTGAAATCAACTCCAGACGAGTGGATGGAACTGTCGGCTAGAGTCTAAAGTAGTTAGTTACAAACAAAGACTAGAAGACGTACATGAAATATCATAAAAGAGTAAGTGTCAAAACATGAGTGATCCATAGTAAAGGAAGAAAATTAAACAAAAGAAACGTTAAGCAAAGATTCAAAGATGTGGACCAGACGTGCATTTTCTGACACATTAAAATCAAATGCATGACGCTAAGCCTTGACTTGAACTCTTTTGACATTAACATATAGGGACTGAAGGTGTACGTGTAATCTTCCTAATGAGAAGTTAATAAAATAAAGGATAAACCTCCTTAATTATCTGAAGAATGCAATATATTATAGTCTTATTCTAAACAAAAGCAAGATCTAAATAATTGAATGTGAGGAACTTACTTGGCTGTTCCGTAATTGACGAGATTAGCGAAAAGAATGCCAATAGTTACGTTAAGTTGGAACAAAATGTTAAGTCCTCCACGAATTCTTGTAGGTGCTATCTCTGATAAGAACAGTGGAACAGCCTGAAAATTTCATGCACATTACATTTTGATTTTAACAAATAAATATACTTAATTTATATATGGACGGAACTCTAATTTATGAGACACTAGTATAATATTTTAAATCTCGAATTTGCTGGTAAGGCAGAAGAATTGGAAGGTAGAAACTTTCTTATCCTAAAATACATATAAAAAAATCCAAAACTACTCAAGTAGAGATGGTAAAATGGTTAAAAGAAAATAGTTATCTACCCATATTATCCATTAAAAAATAGGTTAGATAATGGACTTCTTAAAAACGGGTCGAATACGGATAAGAACCATATTATCACTTAAAAAATGGTTAACCAAATGGATAACCAATGGATAACTAATATGTTTAACTTTTATATTGGTAAAGCCTCAAACTTGGGGTTCCTCAAGTTTGGCAGATTAGGAATTCTCCCATAAGCGATCATATTCAAGAAGCCATATCCATATTATCCGCCGAATAACCCATTTTTTATCCGTCTCGAGTACGGGTCGGGTCGGATAATTTATCAATTTTTTGAATTACCAATTTTCGGCCTGCTCATATCCGACCTGACCTGCTCGTTTGTCACACCCCTGTACTCAAGTAAAAATGGAAGAGCCTTCTCGTCTAAATTTATATATATATATATATATATATATATATATATGTATATAAAAGGACCTTTAGTTACGGACTCACGGGTGAGACTTGCAAAATATTAAAGTTCTACTTTTATCAAATTACTAAAAGGGCATCCCCTTGGAATATGTTAATTGTTAACCTTTTAATTAAGGTTCTATATCCAAACTGCAGTTATTGTACTGAAGCTTGCAATTCTATTTGTTTCTATCTTCATAAGATTTTGCTAGTCAATAAGATATACTATAATTTAATTATACAACTTTTCTTTTTTCTTCAATATGAAATTTCTTCACATGATTTAATTCACAGAAAAGTAGAGAAGGCCCTACTCGATAGTTGTGGCCAAGAGACAATACTTGATATCCAAACATGTGATGAAATATATATCCTATCTCAAATGATGTTTATAGACCAAAAAGTGAAAGGATAAGGATAAAAAGCAATTGAGGTATAGCCAGTACTAAAAGAGAAAGAACCACAATTAAGAAAAAGTGGCGAACAATAAAGTAATTCAAAGGAATTATATTAGCTTTGCAATGTGAGAAAGATACAAGGAAGCTGCCTATAGAGGACTTTTGTGGACAAAGACAAAGCTTTGGACTCTCCACCAAACTTTATTTTATGCTTTTTAAAACTTGTATGATTGTAAAAGTGTCTCACTCACATGTGTAAACCTTGTCAATGACCCCAAATTATTTTAAAGCAAGATAACAAAAAAGTAGGAAAAGCTTAGTGATATTTGGACTTAGAATTATAACAAAAGATAATGAGGAAATCTTTTTCTCCCTCCCATTTTCCACAACACTACCAAATGGGCACCGTGGTCCCCGGTCGACCTCATTTTCCGATTTTGACTTGAGCCTTAGTGAAATAATATATTTTTAAGACCAACAATTATGTACAAAATTCATTGTAATAGTTATACAATTCTACATGTCTATAGCTTGTGACTCAGAAAATACACGTACGTAGTCTATTATTTCAACCAAAATTTATAAAGCCTTCAAACCACAAAAATTTGCCCATTCCATATTGAGGGTAGGTGCTAACTGTACGAGTCTATACTCACGCACCAATAAGATTTGTGATGTTAAAAAATAAAATAAATGCCATTTAAATCCTATTATGTCTACCATTAAAGACAAACTTTTCAAAATCTTACCTCATTCTCTTTGACCAGAATTAGACGTTTTACATTATATTTTTTATTATTAGAAATCTATTTACTTTTTTCAGAAGAGTTGTTTTTGGCTAAACGTAACGTACGTATAACTACAGTTTCATCATTTTATAAATATAAGAACACTACTCTTATTTGAGAAATTTTTGAATTATTTAAAATTAACTCATTTTTTTTTTCTCTAATACACTATCTTTAAATACAATACAATTTAAACGCTTACCTTGATAAGATCAAATCAAATAAGATACCTAATTTAGAGCAGAGGATCGAAGTAACTTGTGAGAGTACTTAATTTGATTATAATTCCTATAGACCGATAGAAAAGTAGAAGTATTACATAATTAGATAATTTATAAAGTAATTATAGATAATTTTGGGTAAATATGAATTGTATGACCAACTTATTATCACAGGTTAATTAGCCAGACAAATAATCCAAAAATCTTTACTCAATTAATGTATAAACTTAAATCTTTAAGAATTAAATGAAAAAAATAATACTAGTGAGAATAGGGAGTCGAACCTGGTTAGCAAAACCAACTCCACAACCAAGAAGAATCCTTCCAATAATAAGCATAGCCAAATCTTGAGCTGCAGCATTTAGTATTACTCCGACAATGAAAAAACAACCGGCGATCAACATGGTTAATCTCCGACCAAGTCTTCTTGTCGTGTAAGAAGCAAAGAAAGTCGCCGTTAAACCGGCCAGATATAAAGATGAAGTAAATAGCTGCAGCCCTTGATTATCATACTTGCAGTAATTACTGTTCAATCCTTGATCCTTTGTTCTCTTGTAAACCGTTGGGAAGAATTTTTTCAGAAAAGGATCCATTGCCGTAACACCACCTGTAATTTTCACAAATAATAAAAATCATTATTATAGTATTAATATTTCAAAAATTACAAAAAGGTGATCATGAGTTAATTTTAGAAATTCAGTTTTTCTTTTTCTCTTTATTGTCATAATTAACTTTTCCATAGAGTTGGGAAAATCACATTTGGCCGGAAAAGTTGAATTTTCCTCTCTTGTTCTTTTCGGACGAAAAGGTTTCTTTTCTTTTTCCCCGTGTTCCTTTAACATTTAGTATTTTTTATACAATATTGCAACTTTAAGAAAGATTCAACCAAGCAAAACTTGGGTCAACACATATAGTTTAACCCATTACGTATTAGGGCAAAAAAACAAAACCAGAAATAATTGGCTTTTAATAGTATTCGAACTTTATTTGGTTAACACAACACAGTGTTTTATAACTAGATTCAGAAACAAACAAAAAGGATAAAATTTAAGAATCATAGGAAAACAAATAAATAAAGAAATGCTCAAAAGTGTTCAAGATTTTGGAACGTTAGGATCGCCATAATAAAAAGGTAGTGACTTAAAATAGGTTTAGAAAAAGGAAAAATTTGTAAAGTAATCATGAAAATATGGGATAATATTTACCAGAAACTCCAATATCATAACCAAACATAAGACCTCCGGTGGCAGCCATAATACAAGAAATGATAACAATAGGTGTGATTTTAGCCTCAAACTCCTTTCCTCCGGCACCGGAGGCCGAAAACCCTCCACCGGCCATCGTTAAGTTGAATTTTCTGACTTCAAATACAGTAGAAGAAGATGGTTTGTATGAGAAAAATGTAATGAGATAGTTAAATTTTCTGTGATAGAAATTATGGGGGTAGTATAGGGGTATATATAGAGTAATGGGAAATAGGAAGGTGACTAACTAACTAACGGAGGAAAGTATGGAACCCACCACCGGCAACTTTACACGTGGATCACATATAAGTTGACTATCTTAGTTGTTGTGTTCTTAAGTTTCTTGCTCGACGGCTACGTAATAGTCAACCCAACGTTGTGAATTTTCAGAAATAACACATGGTTGGCGTTTGGATTATTATTATTAGGATGAATTTGTTGCTGAGAATGTATTATTTACCACTAACGAGTATGGTGAGATGGATTAGATTTCTTTCCATTTAATCAAAAAAATTCTAGTTTGACCATATGAATTGATAGACTCTTGGTAGGGAACCCAACAAAACAAAAATCTAAATTAACCGGAGTAATGAGTTTCGAATATTACATAGTTATATAAAAAAGCTTCGGAGATTATAAAAAAATTTAAAGCATTCCTATAGGTTTTTAAGAAAAGTCTTTAGAGCTGTTTAAAAAAATTGTCTTTAGATTCTTTAAAACCAAAATTTGTTATGGGATTAAACGGGATGAAGTTCAAAAAAATCGTTTGGTCTTTCTACCTCGTATTTCTGCAGTGACGTAAGATTTATCTTTTAGGTTTTCGCAAAATGTATTTCTGAATTTCCTGATTTCAAAACCTAAAATGTTTGATTAAATTTAGAAAAAAATTAATCTAGGTGATAATTAAACTGAATTCGATGAGCTATAAAACATGCAACTGCTTTTATGAACAGTGTAAAACAGTTGGACACTCTGTATATAGCTGCTTTATAGCTGTATAAAATTAGCGCATAACTCGTGCTATCCTACTGTGTAACGTAATTATCCACTTGTAATATATTTCTTTTTATATTTTAGGTAATAATAAGTTTTTGTTTTACATATCAGCGTGTTACGTAAAGTGTTTTGTTCATTAATTATTCTTCAATCGTTTTGGTTGGCCCTCTCTTAACTATTGTGTTATCCATATCCATTAAAGATTTAGAAATTTGTGTATTTGACCAACAATTACTCCTTTGAAAATCGGAGTCCAATTTCACTGTTCAAGAGTCAATTTATCCGGCTTTCCGTCTTTATGAATACATGAATAAAGTTATTTTTTTACGAGTATTACTTTGTGAAAACATAATTCATACATTTAAAAATTACATATCTAAGTTTCCACTTATTTCAGAGCAAACTGACAGCAATATGCAGAAATTGTTGTTCAAGATTATAACCTGTTTTTACTCTTGTGCGCGTCTTAGGAAACATTTGAACGGAGAAATTACTCAGTAACAGTCTAACAGTTTTGCACCCTATATATTTGTGTTAAATGAAACTTTACATTCAAAATGTCATAAAGGATCTTGAATGATATAACAAGATCAAGACAATACAAATGCAGGGTTTTTAGAATATGGATTTAATTTTCGAAGAATCAGTTTAGAATTGAGAATCCTAAATCCTATTACTACAAAGTACAAACTAACGTAAATTCTGAATAGTTCATTTCGTGCTTTCTTAGAACATTAGGAATTATTAGACTCCCGCAATCCACATGATATATAGCGCATTTCTAGTCCTAATAAATATTAACGTCAATTCTGAATGGTTCATTTTCATGGTTTCTTAGAATATTAGTAGGAATTATTGGACCTCACATGATCACATGAAAATTGCGTAAATAGACACCTATGGTGCAATATAATTAGGTCATAATAGCGACAAAGTTTTCATCTAATTATGACAAATAAAATAAGCGAAATCCATGGACATTGAGACAATTAACTACAAGAGGATGAAAACATTGTCAGAATATTTTTCTTACAGAAATAGGACTAAATGTTCCCGAAAAGTTCAAATAGATGTTGTTAAAAAATAAACAAAGAATTACGTAAAGAAATGATGCTACCTTCCCAGGAAAATTCAAGTAACAGTTGTCCTCATTGAAAGAAAGAGATTCTACAGAGTGCCAAAATGGCACCTCCTTTTGTTCTTTTTTAATTCTTCTTAAAATTGGGTAAATTGCGTTTTCCCCTTATTTATTATAAAATTACATTGTTGGTTCTTGAGATACCCAACTAAACATAATTTTGTGTTTTTGATCCTACTACTAACTAATATTTGTGAATTTAATAAAACTTTATATATATATATATATATATATATATATATATATATATATATATATATATATATATATAATTTTTATGTTAAATGAAAGTGAGATTGATATTTCTATTTATATTATATGGAAAGCATTTTAAATTTGTTAAAATCAATTAGCGAAGGGACTAAAATCACATGATTCTATTAATTAAAATTAAATGTGCTTGGTACGACAGGAATACTAAAACTAGGATTTTCCAATAACTAATAACGAAATTACAATTTTCTTTTTTACATTCATCTACATACGGAGTAGGCATCATGTCGACCATAATTTGTTTAGCGATCCACATGTCATGCAAAAAAGGGCTTAGAATTAGGTCAAATGGAAATCAATCATTAAATAAAATTTTATAATTAAGAAAAATACTGTTATATAAACAAACAAAGAAAAAGATTCTCCAAAAAATTTAAATAGGGTATAGTTGTCAATCTAATAGGTGGTTGGGGACACCCTTAGTCAAGATCCTTTAAAAAAAGATACGAGATAAACCAAAAACAATAAACACAATAAAAAAGAGAAAGAAATACTAGTCATGTTTTAATTTCTTGAACAGCTGGATTTTTAGTGACAACATCTTGATAAGGATATCTATTTTATTTTCTACATTTCACTCCTCACGTGTATTTTGAGGGGGCAGCCAGCCTATAAACGAAAAGCCAAAAGCAAAACAAAAAAGGAATTTCATCAGGAGATAGATCTCCCTTAATGTTTTTTAAGTGCAGTTGGTATGCCTGTATTGGGAAAACACTGAATTTAAATATTGAAGATGACGTGTCATGACATGTGGACCGATCAAATAGTCAAAGCATGGTAATCAGTTAGAAGGCACGAGCAACAACAGATGCGGGAGAGAAGATACTTAAAGGCACGAGCTATTATTTAGATGAAACGAGACTCGTACCTGTTCGAGTCATTTAAAGCTCGAAGATCAGAAGGAATTGAAGACATGAATCTGATAGCGTAAAAGAGTCCAAATTCGACATTAAATGCCAAATACGTTAGAGAATTTGTATTTAACAAGAATGATTGAGTAACGTTTCTTTTAATGTCATTTATTGCTCATAATTGCCTCATTAAGACAAAGGCATTACACTTTCTCTTAGAATTAACTATAAAAGGAGAAAGTCACAACATCTGTGGGACACGAAATATCATTGAGATTACATTGAAATACAAACTTATTTACTGCTTTATTATTATCCTAAATTCTTTATTCTTTTCGTCTCCTGATTATTAGTAACCCGATTTTTTTTCTCTTAATTTCTAGTTTTAACTGAAATTCTATTTTTTGGTTAAACAAATTGGTTCCGCTACCGGGAATCTGATAATCAAATTGCATCAATCATGTCGAACAACAATGAACAACATTCAAGGAAACCCAGAAATTCAGACAGTCCAACAACTTCAGGGAGATTCCCCACAAGGCTCTCCTCAAAATTCTCCACGAGGCTCCCTACGACGATCTCGCGAAGGCACTCCTGATGGATCTTACATAGATGGACAGGCTCAATTTGAAAACGCTGAAACCATGAATGAGGCTCTACAAAAACTTATTGCCTCTCAAGTCAATAACGCCCTCCAAGCTTTTGTTCGCCAATTGCCTGTTATCCCACCCGCATCTGCTCCAAACAACAACACTTTGGAGAATCCTCGTTCAGGATTGATTAATTCTGGCAGCGGTGGAACCCCTAGTGAAACACAAGAGAGGGACCCAGGTAATCCAATTAATTCTGATTTACAAAGTCTAGTACTAACCTTGCAGAAACAGCTCAAGGAGCAAAATGAACGCATAGAGCAAATACCTGGAGTACCGCCCGTGATCAGAGGTGTGGATATAGATAAATATTCCCAACAACCATGGAAGCCAAGTGCTGCTCCCCTTCCAATTCCAAAGAAGTTTAAGATGCCTGATATTCCAAAGTATGATGGTACATCAGACCCACGAGATCACGTTACTGCATTCACAACAGGTGTCAAGGGCAATGATTTGACTAAGCAAGAAATTGAGTCGGTCTTGGTCAAAAAATTCGGTGAAACACTCACTAAAGGAGCTTTAACATGGTATTCTCTTTTACCTGAAAATTCTATAAATTCGTTTGCTGAGCTTGCAGATTTATTTATCAAAGCACACTCGGGAGCTCAAAAAGTTAAAAAACGAATGGAAGATATCTTCAAAATCAAACAAGGAGACTCAGAGCTGCTTAGAGAGTTTGTAGATAGATTTCAACGGGAAAGAATGACGCTGCCACGAGTACCTGACAATTGGGCAGCCATAGCCTTTGCTAGTAATTTGAATGATAAGAGTTCAGAAGCCACGAGGCGACTCAAAGAAAGCCTTCGAGAATTCCCAGCAACGACGTGGAATGATGTCTACAACAGATACAGCACAAAGATGAGGATTGAAGAAGACATTATTTTACGACATAAACCAGAAGAAAGGGTAAGCTCAAGGCGTGCGGAAAATGAAAAGAGATCTGGTAAAAACAGGTACGAGCCGTACATGGGACCTGCGGGAAAGGACTCTCGGTCAAGACAAGATAATCAAAGGTACGATCACCGACCTAGGAACAGGGAATCAGGCTCCTCATCAAGGTTTGCGAATGATCGAAACACACGCGGGGCACGAGACGATGATGGAAGTTTGAAGGCAAGATTTGGTGGATATAATTTCAATGTCACTAACTCCGAGCTCGTAGCTGTTTTGAGGAGCATGGGAGATAAGGTACGGTGGCCTAAAGAGATGCGGTCAAACCCAAATAAGCGCAATCCAGATCATTGGTGCGAATTTCACAATGATCACGGGCATAAGACTTCAGAATGTA